TCCTGCTGCCCTGAGGGGAGGAAGGTTCTGCAAACACATGATGCAACCCTTGAATTGAAGCCCTCTCCGCCATCCTGGGGAATTTAACCCCCATAGTGCACATGGTTGTGTTGGAGTGATGTATGCCCATGTGATTTTAGTCCTCTATTTTGCAACTTCAGCCTTGTAGAGGTACTCAGATACCACAGTGATGGGTACTTTAGGAAAGCTTGTGATAAAAAAATGAAACCACTGATCAACCTTTTTCATTTAAAAAATGGTTGGTGACTTTTTGAGTGCCCAGCCTTGAGGCTCCTTTAAAGGTGCTTGATTTTGTAATCCCCAGGAAACAGGTCCATTGGGCACTTGCTGAAAAAATAATTGGAGGGCAGCCACGCAAAATCACCCACCCTGCATTCACTGCATATAATTTGTCTAGTATATACAAGTTATGTTTTCAAACAAATGCATGGGCAGGGCAACAAATAATTCTGGGAAATATCTGTGTATTCATGTCATAATTTGCATTTTCCTATGTTGCACATTTATATAAAATGTTAAATGAGTGTGCAAGTGAAAAAAGCAGTTACATCGCTTAAGGTCTAATTAACTGTTTACAGTGAAGGCAAACCACAAGAATGCAAACAGGATCTTAAAACTGGCTAACTTCTGGGGTCCTTTTACTTCCCAGCTATGTTTTGCTGTGCTGCAAATTTGGGCAAGGGGTTGCTCATGTAAAATAAGTTGCTCCGAGACAGATTCCTTGATTTACAAGTTCCAGCCCAGAGCAAGTTTTTACAGCTGATTTCTTAAAATAGTGACGGAAGGGTTTACAATGGAAAAACAGAGAGGAACTTAAGAGATACTATCAACACATGGACTGCCCATTGTTACAAATAACATCTGAAATAAGATAGCCCCGGCCCTGCAGGCACGTACACAGCATACTTTAGCTTTATGATTTGGGACCCATTTATGTCAAGTTTCAAACCAGGCTGTGGTTTACCACCTGATATTCTGGCGGGGAGGGGAGGGCGCCACCGACTGATCTCCCTTTCTTTTCGTGTTCCTTCTTATGAGATCTCAGGGTCACTACGTTGTCACCAGGGTGCTGCAGCATCAAGTGGCCGTGGATATTAATTTTATACTTACACACATGCATGTCCCACTTGTTGGTGTGGATACAGAAAGTTTGTACCGCTTCCCCTGGTATGCATACATTCCCCCAACAATTTTAGTTTAGTTTCCCCACAACTGGAAAGCATGTGCCGGTGGTAGTTCCCCACAAACTTACCAGTTTTATTTCAGAGTTTATACTGTGTGTCCTATCTCCAAAAATACGAATTACCTGTAACCAATGGATCTGTGTGCATCTCGTTGCTCTGGGCTCCAGTGAACTTTTAGCTTCTCTTCTCCAATTTCTGGCTCAAAAAATGTATTGAGTTTGAACATACTAGTTTTGTTGTGCTGCCCCCACCCTCCCCACTCCACTTTGCCCCAACATCTTAAAGAACTTGTTATTAAAGTAGAGCGGAAAATACCACTCAGCCTGTGACCCATAGCAAACATACTGATTCAGGCTACAGAGCGGGGCAAAATAGATGGGCAGAATTTTTCCATCTGTTCTGAGAACAACCAGGGTCCTAAATCTGGGGAGAGGAGAACAACTGAGCCCCTGCCTAGCTTAACGCTCTTTGACTTCTGGAATAAAGTCAGCACATTGAGAGGGAAAGGTTATAGCTTCATCAGAGCTGGCTGCTGCGTGCGGTTTGATAGCTCCTGTGACTCATTTGGGGATCTTTGTAGGATGCTTTGTTGAAAGTCTCCGACATGAGAGAAAGAGGGAAAAGAACTTAATCAGGATGACATGTTGAGAAATTAATTTAGCATTTATTTAGCTAGACAAGCGTGCTTCAGAGTGAGAGCTGATAAACGCTCCATGGTTGAGTAAGTAATCTGGCACCATTTCCATACTAGTGGGCAGGCATTTCTAATGAGGTCAGACTTAATACACTCCTCCTGGGCTGGTATCTCTTCCTGTCAATCTTGCCTTGATTGAGCAGGATATGGGCCGAGAACCAGAAAATGCCATACGCTAGGGTGGAAGGAAGGCGACAGCGAACTAGTGGAATTGTGTTACTCAGTACAAAGTTTCTTCGTTGAAACTGTTGGTGAAAGTTTCCCTTCCTGCTGGGCAGGGGAATGACCCACAGGAAGGCGCTCTGAAAACTGCTCCACTTTGGGGAGGGTGTGCAGCCGATTTGTGGCACGCCTGCCAAAAATGTTGCCTCCACCTTTCCCACCCCCAGACAGTCAAGTCCTGTTCAGGTTGAGCTGTGAGAGGTGTCCAGCAGACAGGGGCACTGCTGACAAGAGCACCCAGGCCAAGGCTCTTGCTCCCTTATAGCTGGCTGATAGTTCCCACCTCCTCCTTTAAGATTTAGGAACCGATAATGGCCTGGTGCTCACAGGGTTTATAGCTGCCAAGGGGAGATGTTTAACTGTATCTGTGCATGAGAACAGAGCCATTGTGACCTGTCTCTATTCACTGCTGTTTCCTGTGCCCAAATGTGTATCCCGTGCTAGCCCAAAGAGTTTAACTGCTGCCTCTGGTGGGGCTGATTCCTGGCTCTGCAAACCTGGAGCAGGCAAGAAGGCCGTGGATCAGCGAGGAGGGGCACAGAGAGCTGAGAGGAGCCTCCTTTTAGCAATAGGCTTTGGAGCAGCTGCCCAAGTAGCTGGGACAGAGGATTGCAGGACACACGTGGGGAAAACTGGCCTCCCCAGAAGGCGGGGTAGGAAGCCGCAAGGAACCGGGAGACAGAGGTGTAGCAGGGTAGCTCTGTGCCCTGGGCAGCTCTGGCACATGGGGGGTGCTGACTGCCGTACCACCGCTGGAGGCGGCGCAGCCAGCTGTTTTTGTGTCCCGCAAAGCCTGTGCCCTGGGCTCCTGCCTCCAGCACCCCGCTCCCGCCCCTCCCCATGCTCAGTTGTGCTGCTGCTTGGAGGAGCTAGTGTCACCTGTTTCATTCAGGATCCCAGGGCTGGGACGAGGGGAGGAGGAAGGGAAGGTCTGGGGGCAGAGAGGCTAGCCTGGGTTTACCTACTAACTCCAGTGAGGGAGTTATTAATGCCAAGGGGCATTAATGCTAAGTTATTAGCATAAAGGTGCTTGAAACCCAGGGGGACTTTGGATGGGGAAATGGCTTTCCAACTTGCCAGACATGTTGCTCCCTTGAGAGGAGACAAACAGCAAGCGCTCCACCGGAGGACAGGAGGTCCATACCGGAGCACAGACCGGGAAAGGTTCGCCACACCTCACCGTACCACATACAGCTGCTGGAGGGTGCCAGCTGGGGAAGGCAATTGTGGATGCCATCGCTAGGGTGACATTTTCAGCTAGGCAAGAGAAAGCTGTTTAATTTAGATTTGTTGACATTTTACATATACTCCCTCCAGGAATGCATGATTATTACATGGGTGGAAGGAAGG